TTATGTAAAGTGACTTTTGAACTGTGGCAGAGACAGATAAATTACAAGCTATAAGCGTCTGTTTCTATTATACAGTCTTACATTTCAGGAGTTGATACCTGGACCAGAAATACTGCTCTCAGTCAAACTTCCTGTAACAAAGTTTCAGGTTAGTAGTTATTTGTCTTGTATTAGCTTTATGAGAAGACCAAAAACTAGTTTTACAGCAATCTTTGTTCTTAATTATGCTTAATCTTAATCAATTATCCTTAAACCACTTATTATTTCAGAAAAAAATAATCAAAGACAGAAGGCAAATTTAGAAGCCATTCCTGCAAATGTGTAACTTGTTCTATAGTAAGTGGATCAGAGAGATGTGCATCTCTGGTTAAAGAGCACTTAAGTGAGATAATAGTGGAAGGTCACCTGTAAGGACTATGTGGTTGCAGGGGATAGTCATAAGTCATTACTTAGGTAAGTCATTTATTGAGCAAAATAAAAGAACCCACAATCTAGTGAGGATTTTTTTTTTCCCTTTCCATAGAACAAGTCACTGCGATGTTTCTGTTCAGAAATGTTGCAGTGCCTCAGGATGTTTTTGGTCCTTCCTCCCAAGTTCTTTGTCTACTCATGTTTTTATTTTTTGTGGTGTGGATTTTCCTCTTTGTGGAGGGAAGATAGCAGATGTTGACACTTGCATGACAGGAGCACTTCACAGAGAGCTTCAGATAGTCCTGCTGTGATGCGTCCCCGGGTTCTTGAAACAGCAATGCAGCAAGTTCAAAGGAGGTAGGTTTGAATTGTGAAAACATCTACTTACTAGAAGCTTTTTGCCAGAATGGTCACAGGGAAAATAATACTGGCAACCAAGTGGTCCCTTACTACCTTCCTGTCAAGGGCAGTTGTTGTGTTGCTATCTGTGAAAGCTATCATTTCACTATGTTTCCAGATTTGTCAGGACTATACCTGGCTAATTTTTTTAAGGTCATATTTGCAGCTTTAAGGACTACTAATGTCTGTTACAAAAATAAAATCTTAACTTTTTGGAACACAATTCGGTTGTGGGTTCCACCGCCTCAGAAATTCAACTATGGCACACATTTTCTACTGATGAACTTCTATGAATGTCCCTTAGCAGCAGCATGCTTTCTTCTTTTGATTTATTATGTTCGAATTTATTAAGCCAGAATTCTTCGATGACCTTACTTTAATGTTTTGTTTTGTTTTTGTTTTCTACCAAAATATGGCTATGGGTTTCATGGAAGTGTCATCTATGCAAGTGTATGCTACATGTGATGTTTTCCTGGAGCTCAGCTTCAGTGCTCTGGTAATTTTTTAATATGAAAACTATTTTTCTGCCAATTTCTACAATGTAGAATGCATTCCAAGTTGTAAAAACAATAACAACTTAAAATAAAAAATAAAAAAGTCAACACCCAACAACCCAAATCCTGAACACTTCACTTTGCACCTTGGCACGTTTTACTTTGTCCATTGGCAGTCTTTCACATTCTTAGCCGCTACTTCTGTACCCTCACCCCCATGAGGGGGGTGATAGCAAACTGATGCTTTATTTTTCCTTTGAATCTTAATAGCTATACATTTATGATGATGCATCATTGTAGCAAGGTGATACAACTTGAAGAATTGATAACTCTGATCTCCAAGAGTAATGCAACAGGAGTCATAAGCAGCGATATAAGTTGCAAAAATCTCCCTACAATTCAATAGGAATTGATATCTTGTTGACATCAGATTAAAAAGAAAGCTTTGGGGTCTGGCTGCATTGCAGTCTGTGAAATATGTGTGCGAGGGGATTGAAGGCCAAGTAGTAAAATGGGTTTTGGAGTGTCCTAACGTGGCTTAAGTCTGACTGGAGGCTTTAAATCTTTTCTGTATATCCGTCTCATATGGGATGGATAAGCTGTGGTTGCCAGAACCTAGCTGTTGGTATCATCTCTCTGAATTTGTGGCTTTAAAAATCATGTTGCTTGCAAGCATTCTTAATGTAAAAACTTGCTGGATCTACCTGCTGCTCTTCTTTTTGCAGCAGGTATGCCCCTCACAGTCTTATCTTGTTGGAATATGTATAGAAATTCTGGAACACCAGAAGGGATAACACGAATTCCCCTTGATCTGGGGAAAAAATAATAATAATTGAGCTTTAATTGTGAATGATTAAACTGCATAGAAATATTTTGTCTGTATTAATGAACTTACATGACCATCTATGTTACATTTATTTTGATGAATTTCTGTGGCCATTTGTTGACATTATCCAGGGGTAAAATTAGCAGTTAGATCACTTCTTTTCAGTGCTAGCATTGCATGGCTTTTTATGTCTCTCTGAGAAGACAGCATAGTAGTATTTTAATCCTGATTTTCACAGAGCATAACTAAGCAGTGGTTGTGAGGAAAAACAGAAAAACTGGCTTGCAAAAGCTACATTTCAATAATTTCTTAAGGTATGTAAGCATTATGTGATTTTTATTTATTTTTTTCCCTGTAGTTTTTATAATAGCGGACAAAATGATTAAACAACAAAAAAGTTAAAACCCCCAGGGCTTTCAGTTGCTGGGTGTTTCCACGTGTGGCCACCAGATGGAGCAGGGCGCTGAAGAAGACCGAGAAGCTCAGCTGCGGGGTGAGGATCTGGGCAGCAGCAGCACTGCTGCTCTGCCTTGCGAGGAGCTGTGCCATGGACCTGGCAAGACGATTTCTGGATTGAATTAAAAAGAAAACAGATGGAAGCGTATTTAGCTAGGTCCGCCCGAGTTTGTGCTGATCATTTTCTCAATACTCCTGTCTGGATCAGTGAGAATAAAGTTTGCTTTCTTATGCTTCTTTTGTAAAACTTTAAAATCATTTCAAACATCTAAGAATTCTTTCCAGGTAAAACCTAAATTAAAAACAAAACAAAAACAATCAAACAAAAAAACACATTATTTCCTCTCCCAGAAATGAGCATCTGAAATGCCGTCAAATTTTAAATCAACAGATTTATGCCAATTTCTTTTTTTGTATAGCCCAGTTCAAAAGTGTAAAATAGAGACAAAAAGAAAGTTAATACAGAAAGACATTCTCATTTTTTCCTTGCAGGGGAAAAAAAAAAGCTTTCAAGTTAGTAGGTCAGCTTATTTTTTCATTCATTGAAAATTTCACTGTGATTTCCCTCCCCAGCGATTTTAGCTGTAAGTAGAAGTTTTTCTTTGAACTGGTTTAGACTAAGGCCCTCTTTCTTGTCACGCACAGACAGGGAAATACTGCAAGGTGCTGGATTAGCTTGTTCGCTTTTCATTGTTTTCTTTTGTAGCAGCAATCCGTTTAGCTATGGTATGCTGAGTTTATCAGATTAGCACTTAATGAGTAAAGGGAATAGGGGAAATGTTGCCTGAGTTACTGAAGCCTAATAAAGGTTTCCGTGCCTTCCCCCTCTTTCTAAATACCTGAACTTTCCTGACCCCCCCCTTGCTTTTTCTCTCCCTCCCAGCTCTTTCCCATAGGAAATACGCTCCCCTTGCAGATTTAATCGTCAGAAGTAGTGCTGCCATTAGCTGGGTTTTGCTCTGTGCTTGCTGGTCACAGCTTACATCCTGCTCGGCAGTGTTTGGCAGGCTGTACAGAGCTCTTACTAATGCAACTACTCCTTATTCTGACTTTCATGCCTTACCTGGAAACACTTGCAGACTAAAAATGCAATAACCTATAGCGTGGGTATTCCTAAATTAAAACCATTAGGTATGACTGTAAGCAAAGCAATTATGTATTTAGTTGTGATAACAGTGATATTTTAATTAGAATTCATTGGAGCTTGAATAATTACATTATATAAAGAAATTCAAGAAAGCTGAGGTTTAGTAATGCTTAAAAACTGTCTGCACTATATGGATTGCGGCTCTGTTAGCATCATTAACTTAACAAGCTTCTTGCACAACTCTCCTGTTTTTCTCTGTACTTCAACTCTTTTTCCCTTTTTTAAGATTATTCTTTGTTTTAATTCAATATTACATTGTGAAATTTTTAATACAAAAGTAAAATTCTGAAAAAAGAAAACATCTGTATTGGTTTATACTACTTAAATATATCTTAGGTGGTTCTTTTAGTGTTGTACAGAAATGTAAAATTATCTTAATAGCAATGAAAATAGGCCCAAGAAATGTGGGACTGACATACATGGGAGAGCTGCCTTATGATCAGGAGCTTCTGTAGTTATTGAAGTAATAAGGACAAAGCAATAAAAGTTGAAATGAAGCATCAACAAGTCAACAGTGTTGCTTAGAAAATAACTTTCTGCACAGAGGCATCTCTGAAAATATTTTCAGTTTTATCTGCCTAACAATTAGACCATTTTTTAACGGAAATGACCTTACGTTTCTTTTATCTCCGGTCACAGTACACAATTTCTGAGATTTAAAAAAACAAAACAAAATAAAAAAACACCTTAGCAATATACAGCTAGTCACGACAGATGGGATTTTCTAATAGCAAAACGTGTTGTATGCTTTTTAAATAATTTTAACAATATTAAGAAATATTAAGCATAAGAATGCTAGAGGCTCAGAAAGGCACAGAGATGCTTGAGAAGGGTAGAAGATGACTATATGATTTTTGAGGCTTGTGTGGCTTGCTGCTGAGCCTGCCTCAAGTATTTGCCTTCCTGGGTGAGGTACCGTGGCTGATGGTGTTCGCATTCCCAGAGTGTCACAGTCTGGAGCACAATGTGTCCAGTTAAGCTTTTGTCAATGCTGGTGCTGCATGGAAGTTTTGGAGGAAAAAATCCCTGTTTTTTCACTTCATTGACAGTGTCATTTAAGCTTCTTGTTTCCATTATTTGTTTTGTATTGTTTTGTTGTCTGCTCCTGAACATGTACAGTTCATGCCAAACTTCTATCCAGCTGTCAAGGTGGAAGAAAAACAGTTGTTAATCTGTGAACTAGGTATTGAAATATTTTGTAATTTGATTCAAAGGTTTATTTAAATCACAAAAAGTATGTGTGTGTGTTTTTCTTTTCCCCTCTCAGGTTTGCAATTATGTGTGGCTATATGTCTCAGTTTGAAAGTGTACAAAACAAAATCAGGAATGGTTATCTCTTTAAGGTATGTTTTTGTAGGCTTTCGGTGCTTTGTTTAAGCTATTCCTTTAACTTATTTCCTTATATAGTGTCAAAGAAATTTTTCCAACATGGTAAATTCAGCCTCACAGGTTTATTTTGGTGTCGATGTTAAATTGAAGTTATTTTTACATATGCAAACAGATTATATGCTTTCAAAAAACAAAAAAAAAAAATGTAGGATGCTGGGAGGAACATCAAGATTTCTGTTACAGTTTGTAGTGAAAGGGATGAGGAAAACAGAGAAACAATTCTGTTCAGAAAATCAGAACATACAAATTGTTAAGTGATGAACTAACATAGTCCTGCAATCATGCTTCATGCCTCCTTTAATAAGTTATGTTTGTTTTAACAATGTCCTTTCAGAGGTAACTGTGTATTCTAGTTAGCAGTTTTTGTTGCATGTGCTCCCTACCTCTTGTCCTCAGTATTGCTCTGGCTGTTTGCACCCACTGCTCACTGAGCCAGCGTCCCCCCATTCTGGGTATCAGTAAGAGGCAGCAGATATGCGACAGGTCCCCATCACATCCAGCCCGTGGTAGGGCTTGGAGTGTTACATTAACTACATCCAGGCTGTGCGGAGTTAGCTAAGCCCCAACTGCTGCAACTAGCGAGGTAAGAAAGAGAAAATGACAAAAATGCGACCAGAGGAGTGCTGCAGTTGTTTAAGGATGGGGTTTAAAAAGAAACCACGGTGTTAGTTGCCTTTTCAGTGAGGTTTACCTCTTCAGAAGTAATTTCTAAAATCCAAGTGAATCATTAGGCAATGCTAATGCTTTGAGGAAAATAAGAGCATGAAAACATAGCTTCTATGTGATCGGTTTGTGGACAAAATGATAGAATAATAGGCTCTTATATCTGTATAACTCGGATATTTTAGTGACTGGCTTAGTCAGAAAAGGAGAGATCTGAAAAAAATGAAGCCTTAGAAGAGAGATTTATTTTGAGACAAATAGTACTTAGGGGTGAAATAATGTATTTCTTTTTCTTTAAACTCAGGTTGAGCAGTAAGAGCTTTCTTCAGTAAATTAAAGAGAGAAATAAAGATATTTATGACCTATAATGACAGTGGTTTTGGAAGAATCACCATATTAGATGTTTTCTAACTGTTATTGTTTCACTGCAGCAGAACCCTTTTATTTCCTGAATTTTATGTTATAATAACAATTTGTTGTCTCCTGTACCATTTCATTGGAGCAGCAATATTACAGGGTGGAAAAGACTTCAATGATGGGTGCTGGCATGTAGGAACTATCAAAGACAGTAGTTGCTTTCTCACTGGTCTGGTGTGTGACAGTTCCCTAACACTAACTGTAAATAAAAAGAATATAATTGAAGTTGTTGCCTTTTTCAGGCAAAAGTTTTCGAGCTCTTTGACTGAAGTTTTGAGGAGTTTATTTGTGGTCTTGTTGCATTGCGTGCAAAGTTGTTAAATAATTTTGTTTGTGGTTTTCCTCAATAAGGAAATGGTTTGCTAGTTAAAATGTATTTAGAATGTTAGAAAATAATTGCAGCAGAAGAAAAGTTCTGAATTTGTATATGATTTGCAGCAAATCTCTTAGAATGTAAACACGCTTGCCAAGCAAACATCTAAAGTGACACTGATTTTCTTTTTAATAGGAACACCTAGACAAAGCAATTGAACTTAAACCTCAGGATCCTTTTTTATATTACCTAAATGGAAGATGGTGCTATTCAGTAAGTTTTCTTATTTTTTTTTGTATCTTACATATTGAATATACAGAAAAAATATAATACATTTGAAATGAAGTAATGGGACTTAACACAAAGTAGATGTTTGGAGCTAAATGAAGCAGTGCGTATACATTTCCCGAATCAACTTCCATGTGTGTGATGTTACTGGACTACCATACTGGCTTGGTAAATTTCAAGAGAAAGTCTCAACAAAGATAAAGAGATAAAATCTGTCGTTCACCAAAGTTTTGCAAGAAATACAAATTTTGTTATGCCAACTCAGCAAGAGCTTTTAAATATTTTATTACTGACGTAGTGATAAGTACTCATATAAAAAAAAATAAATAGATTGGTTTGCCAGTTTAGCAGTTGTTTGTTTGTTTTTTAGCAAAAATGATGCTTTGTGCATATGAGAGTTGCTCTATTGTGAAGCCCACATCTTTGATGGCTCATATGACTATCCTTATCACTTCATCTTTTATGCTACAAAGACTCTCTTGTCCGAAGAAAATGTTCTTGCATAGTCTAGGCTGTAAAAGATCGTTGGGAGGCTTCTCAGAGTAGTAAAGGCTGATGTACAGTGAATTCCAGCCCTGCTTTTTTCCTCCAGCTACTTCCAGTGCTAGTCATTACGAAGTGCCTGCAAACTAGAAAGAAGGAGTTGCCGTGTTATTTAGAACGTTGCAGCCTCTGACTTTGTTTGTCTTTATCTGCAACAAGCCTTAATGCCAGGTAATCTTTCAGCAATTCTTTCAGATCATATGTATAACTTTCAAAAAGCTTTCAGCAACTACATTTTTTCTCAGTGGATCCGAATGAAGAATGACACCAACTTTTTCAAAGAGCTTATTTTGCTTTTCATCACAGTGTATTCTTCAATGTCAGCATAAGCAATGCAAAAGTGAGTTGCCAGAGATTGTCCTATATCATGCATGCTGTCCTGCCTTTTGAAGAGCATCTCTCTCACCAGTGATTCCTTAAGCACTTTCATATGATGTCCAACAACTGACTGCAGCTTCCATTTCTGTCAAACACTCCCAGATGTTTCTCATGGCTTATTTAACACTGGAGCTATTGCATTTGGAAGCTTTACATGTAATCTCAGCATACCTCATTTTGTTAATACTGTGCTATCTTTTAATCGTATTTCATGTTAGTGACAGTCACCACTTACTGACTGACTACATGTGGTTTGTTGCACAGTACCATTATGAATTCATGTTCCACACTTACAGCATCTATGCAGAACTTCCTTGGTGAATAATAAAGCAACAGATTAGGATTTGCCTTAGGGGGTGACCTGACTTGCATTGTATTAAGTGAAACTTCGTATGATGTAGCCACTGAGATACTTGAGATTGATTTTTTTTTTTTTTTTTTTTTTCTTATTTTCAGTTCTTGCATTCTGTGACTTTGTTGCTGGCCTTGACAAAATAGTAGCCTGAAGAGCTAAGCGCAGACTTGCGTAGTACAGATAAATGCAAGTACAGGACTAACATTTTGTTTTAACTTTTAGGGTGGTCAGCTGTTTTGTCACTTGTACGCTTTCAGTAGCAAGATGAGGTGATTATTCAGGACCATTGTTTGGGTTTAGACACCTTGCTTGAGTACAGAAGTTAGGTCTTAATCCTAGCCTGGTGAAGTTCATGATATTCCCATTAGTTTTAGCAGACTGAGTGAGTTTCTGTGCTGATCCACTAATAGAGGTTTTGGTCATGCATGTAATATAGATAGTCTAGGACCTTGTGGAAGATGCAGCAGATCTTGTGATCTTTTTCTGCAGACTGTGTTGTTTCATACTGTGGTAATTATCCCTCAATTAGGCTGTTAGCTGTGGCATTGGTTCCAAATACTTCCTCGGAGTGGGAAGTACGATAGGGTGTTTAAAGAATATGTATATTACACTTCCTTTGTAATGCTACCTGTAGATGGAGTGATTATGCTCCTCTTAGACCCTCTGTTTTTTTCTGTTTAGTCTAGCAGAGGTTGAGGCTGGGAAGGCGGTGTTACCCACTGCAAGGAAAACAAAGGGAAAAAAGGGCTGACCGAGTTAAAAAGGTTAGTGTGTACTTGAAGCTTTAGCTCGCTTTTGGGCCAAGCTAAGATTTGCCTTAATGTTTGCTCTTCCATAAGTGTTGTTTATTTGATTTGTGTTAGTTTTGCTAGAATTTGGCCTTGCCTAACTTTCTCATTGCTCTTCACAAAGGGCTGCATTGCAGTGGTGTGGCAATGTCACATTTCTTACACAGTGACTGTTCTTGCTGGGCCAGATCTGAAGCTGGTGCAAAGTGACACAGCGCCTTCCAGCAGGACAAGGAGCTGGATTGCCACTGCCTTACAGCACTGAGTGGGCTGATGCAGAGCTAGTGACTTTCATGTGCCATATTGTCTAAAAATCTTTTTTTTTTTTTTTTTTCTGGTTCTGATTTCTTTTACCATTATGAAACCAGCAGAGCTGTACAAAAGAGGTAGATGCTGGTTTGATAGGAGCATCATCACTGCTTTGTTAGAGAATTAATTCCGGTATCGAGATCAGGTAGGCAAGATTTACGAAAGATCATTTTATAGATGTCATTATGGGCAAAGTATTATCTGTAAGAGCTGCTGTGTATTCAAGAAGGCATGTGTAGCTCCCATATAGAGCATGGTTTTTATTCTTTTATGACAAAGGGAAAAAACAACTATTTATGCATTGAGCAAACATAATAGAACAACACAGTAATAGGCAACTGTGGAGCCCTACCAAGTGTTACTGAAGTATTCCTTTTTCTAGAGCTAATGCACACTTCTAAATGGTGGTGTATTGTTTTTTTTTTCCAGTTTATCTTCATTGATAATGTGTAGGAAAAGTTAAATACCATATAATTGTTATTAAAATACTTTGAAATATCTGTTAAGGAAACTGAACCAGTATTCAGTGTGCGTAAGAGATACTAGTATTGCAAGGAAAAACAACTGGCTCAAAATAGTTTTCATTTAAAATATCTTTAATGATGGTAAGCTAAACTTCTTCTCCTCAGCCTTCCATGACATAACCAAGCTTTGCTGACTGCATATCTTTTAGGGAACATTGCATGTCCTAAGTACATGCTTGCATAGATGCATGTGACTTAAAATAAGTAGTGTTTAGAGCCTTCTAAATTGCAGCTTTTGGTTGTTAAGAGATCAGCAAGAAATATTTATTAGAAGGGAAAAGATCTATGGTGCATAGTGTAGAGTAATTATTTCTTTCTTCCGAATTTTGTGAGCAATTGTCTGATGATCCTTAAAAATTTAGTGTTTGTTTTTGTTTATTGCTTTAGTGTTTAGAGTAGCTTTTAAAAAACTGAGTCCATATCTAGTTAAGACTAATGGCTACTTGCCATTATAGGAGTGACATGAGATGGCTAGCGTATACTTGTGAAACTGAAGCAGAGCCTCTGGTAAATGTTAGTGGGGTGTTAAAAATTAGATTTCTTGGAATTTTAGTATTGTAGGTTACATGCTATGTGTTGAATTCATCTCTGGTGTATCCCAATTTAATCTATTTGGGTTACATCGGGGAACAAATTGACCCAGTTCCTTTGTCTGTGTGCTCTCTAAGTCTGCTTCTCTTACTGGAAAGTGAAACGCCCAGGGAATTCAAGTTAGATAAATGGCTAAATGCCCATGCAGAGTGTAGGTTCGTCAGCTGGCAAGAAAGAGAATATTTATGTTGGAAGACAGTGTTTAAAAACTGCTCTCTAGTTATTTAATCTCTTCCAGAAGTCACAACGTTGTAAAATTGTATTAAATAATTTCACATTTAATATGTTGTAAGTAAAAAATGATGATAATAATTCTCTGAGGATAACGAAGTAGGTACCATTAATATTTTATTGAAGCTGGATCAATGAAATCATTCTCCTTTATGGAAGACAATTGTGTTATGTGTCACCAGAGAGCTATTAGCAAGGAAACATTGCAGGAGGATATCTTTTAGGGGTGCAGGTCCCTCCTGGCTCAATTTTCAGTCCAGATGGCTTAGTTTCCTTGGTGCCAACATCCTGGAGTTCGATAAGCTGTGAATGGGCAGGGTTTGCATTTCATCAAAACCAAATGGGAGACAAAACTGAAAACAGTCTCCAGTCGCTAAATGATCTAGTCGACGTGAATTTTATTGATGCCTACGGAGGAGAAATGCATGATAGGGTATCTCTTTTCCCAGTATTTAGGAGAGAACCACATTTTCTGCCTTAATCTTTGCTGGGAAGAGTGGTCTGGTTGGAGAGTATTGCAGTCAGCTGCAGTTTAACTCTGTGGGTGACTTCCTTTTCTCTGGTCTTAATAGAGATTTGGGTAGGATAAGATGATGAGAACTTGCTCTTTTGACAGATCATGAGGAGAGGTCTTTCGAGCCAGATATGTCATTAGCTTTGGGACACTGAAGAGTGGCCTCCACTCCTTGCCAGCAGCCAGGCTGTTGTGGTGACCCACACTGCTGCAACTCTAGGGAAGTTCAGGAGTTGGCTGATGGTCCCTCAGCTCCTTGTTTTTTACCTCTTCTAGAGCTAGTGAGATTAGCTGTCCTCAGTATGGCAGCTGGGGAGCAGTGTTCATGTTCAGAGTGACCCAGTACATTCAAAGGAGATCTTTGGAAACAGTGTTCTTGAAGTGCTTTTGTGGATTTTCAGGCTGCTGGGAGGTACTTGCATTAGGAAACCTGAAAAAATGCTTGGGGAACCTGAAAAAAAAAACAGAGCTCACTTAAGGTTTGGAAATCATCTGTGGGGCAAGGACAGTCTTCCTTCTATATTGTTTTTCTTGAGTTATAGTAGTGTTTACTTGCTGCATTAGCTGTTTTCTTATTACTTTCTGCTGTGCTGTACTGCTCCTGGACACGCATTAAGTGAAGCTCAAGCTGATGACGTTTACAGTCTCACCCCCAAACAGTCTATTTGTACTTTATTTTCAATGGACCTTCCAATATGCTTTGCACTGTTTGAGGTAACCTTGAACGTAAAAGTTAAATTTTCACTACACTGGAGCATGCGACACCAGGGTTTCTGCTGCCTGGGCTTGTTCACATGCAGAGAACACTTCATACGGTTAGTTGGTGTGCTAGGAATAATGTTTCCATTTCACTAAACATGGCATAAAAGATTTACTGTAATAAAGTTATTTCAAATTAAAAACAGTACTTTTGTATATTTAGGGGCAGGGTATCATTTCCTGTTCATCATTATTGCTCCAGGACACGATTTTGTGTCTTGCATAAAACAGCTCTATTCCCACCTCAGTTGTGCAGGCTGATGCAGGAGGGGTGTGGGGAGGCTGTTGTGATGGGATTCATCTCACTTGTCTTTAACCATCCACGAGGTACAATTGTCTGTGCTCCTTTTGTAGTTAAGGGGAAAAAAGAAGGGAAAGAGAGGAGTGTTCATCCAGGACTGTCATAGGTGAAATAAGAGCAGTGGCCCACTAAAAATGCTGCTGTCCCTGTGGACTGTGCAAGGAACCTGGACAAGCAGTACAAAGTGGGCACTTCGTTTACAGCTGGCGATAATTAGCTGCAATGAGTTCATCAAGCCAGTGGATTACAAGTTGGAATACTTTAAGTATGGAATACAAGCTGGAAGCATTACAGCACCATCAGGCTATCTGTGTCATAAAGTATGGGATTGAATCCACTGTGCGTTGAAGATGAATTGCTATTGTCCATACGTGTTCTGGTGTTCTGTTTTTAAACATTGCTTTAGATTGGTTGTGTTTGTAATATAAAAGTGGCCAAGTGTATTTTCTTTTAAAAAGTTTGAATAGTGCAAAGCAGCACCCAAGCCAGACAAAATAAGGCCTAAAACCTCAGTAAATCAGTTCTGATTAAATCTTGCAAGAAAATAAAACAACTGCCAGGAAGGACTTGTGTTTTCAATAGGTAATTATAACTCTACATGGAAAAACTGCAATTTTGTTCCCTCATTGCAGAACAGCAGACACGTGTGTGGTAATTGTATCTGTGCGCTGTATGTATATACCCTTGGGGTGCTGGGTGGTCTTGCAGAGAACAGTGTAAACCTATGGATTCCCCGTATTATTTCCTTCTTATCATTCTCCTGTAAGCTTACTCTATGATGAGATGGACCTAGAAATAAAGAAACCCCCTTCATCTTCGAAGAGAATAAAGAATGCTGCAGCAGAAGAAAACAATACATTTGCGTGAATCCTTTTGACATCTTTCACAGCGTATGTCTTAGAAACTAGGGAGCAGCTAGGAAAGTGAAGTGTGGGAGAGAGCTGTATGCATACCTCCAATTTGAAGTTTTAACCAGGACGCTGCAGTTTTTAACAGTGTTAAAACAGTACAGGACAGGGGAAACATCTCGTTCTTTCTATGAACGAGAACTTGAAGATTACCAGAGAGCTTTTCAAAAATAAATAAATAAAATTCTGCACTTCATTCTTTTAGAAGATGCTTCAAGAGTGGGAGATGATAGAGAGAATGAAGAACGCTTTTTATTACTCTCTGGAAGATCATTTTTAATGGTTTTGCGTGAAAGACTTACTGATGGCATTTAACAAGTAAGGTGTTGAACCCTAGCAAACAACCAGCAAAACTTGGCCGGGATGCCCTCTGTCTCCGAGCAGAGTTGCTCTTATGTAGCTTGAGTCATTGAGGTCAGCAAGAAAACCTGGACCTGTGCATTTTTCTGTTGCTTGCTGGCCTGTATTTGTACTCTTTGCAATGGTATTTTAGGGCAGTTTGCAACAAGAAATGTGTAGAGATTGATGCATGTTGATGTTCAAAAGAGAAGCATTCTTGCTGATGGCTGCGGATAGCTTTGTGTTATGGTGCCAATGGGTTCTGATAGTTTACCATAATTAACTGTAACCTAATAGATTATTGCTGAGTTCAGCACAAGAGGGTAGGGGGAAGCAGCAACAGCCCTAAAGAGAGACTAGGAAGCCAGAGAATGAGGCGGGAATAGTCCAAAGCAATCCAAAACCATTTTGGTTTTAACAGCGGTAGGACAGACATGAGCTCAATGCTCAACAGTGTTATTTGAATCACCTCTGCCTCTGAAACAGAGATGTCTGTAGATGTCATGACTCTTATTTCACTTCTTGTCTCTCCAGTGAGAGGCTCTCTCTCTTGGACTGCACGTCTCCCTTCTCTGTGTTGCACAGATCATGCTGGAAGTTGCTGGTAAAACACAGCACCTTCACGTTTTTACTATTTTTTAACTCAGACATACTTGGTGATGGGAGCCATCAGTGCCGTGGTTCAAATAAATCCTGACATGAAGGAATGAAGTTCTGAGTTTTCTTTACAGATGTAGTAGATGTGGCCAAATGAGTGTGGCTTCTCCATTTCAACAGGCTCCAGTCTTGCACTGCGTTCCTTCCTGGCTCTGTCCTTCATTAGAGATGTGAGGTGTGTTCTGCTGTGTTAGGGGATGGAGCCAAGCGTTTTGTGGCAGTAACAGAGCAATTTCTGTCAGCTGTCAATATATGTAAGGGAAGAAGTCATGCACATTATGTGGCAATGTGACAGTGCCTTCAAGTCCTTTTCATAGCAGCTGGTCTTCCTGAAAAGAGACGAAGCCTTTGGCAAATGTTATTTGTTAGGAAAAAAGGAAACCTCTTTCTTCACAGTGATTATGACCAGCTTCTGCATAGTAAGTGAATTTGTTTTATGAGGGCCAAAAGCACTGATGTTTTGACTGCAGCAGCAACTTTTCATAATGTTGAAAAGCAGTCTATGTGGACTACCACGCTAAGGTGTCTGCCATGAAAACCTTAACAGGTTTCTAGCCTTAGAAAAATAGCATGGTCTTGTGATACCTAAACTGTACTTTAAAATTCATACATTGGAATACTGTCATATCAGTGATGTTGATGTTTTGTATTTCTTAAAGTGTACATTTCTGAGTTAATGGAATCTAATATCCAAAAGGCTATGCTTTGAGTTGGCAAGTCAACAGCATAAAGCATTCCTTTACAAGCTTGTTTGCAAAATAAGTTGTATAAGTAGTACAGCAGCACAGGACAGTATTCACTCCAAAGCCGGGAAGCAATCCTAAGGGCTTTTGATTTATGCTTTTGTATTTTTATTATAGGTAGCTCAGTTGTCTTGGCTTGAAAAGAAAGTAGCTGCTGCTCTCTTTGGGACTCCACCAACTTCAACAGTAGAAGAAGCACTGCAGAATTTTCTGAAGGTAGGTCCTAGCCAAGGGTTTTCCTGTGTGACTGTTTACCAGCTGCTTTGTGTGACTGTTGTCAAGATGTCTGCTCAACAGATTATGTTCTGTGGCTATAAATCAAGGGTTCTCCTAAACACCACAGAGCTCTATAATAAAATATTTTCTTATTCTCTATTTTAAAAATAGTTTGGAGATGAGTGGCTAGCACTTCTCTTCCTTTAGTTTTACAGAAATCTTCAATGACTTGCTATGTTAATAGTTACTAAATTTAATGCAAAATAGATATGGTTTAGTTACATAAGCCATTGAAACGAGTTAGTGTACTTATTTGTCCACATTTGCAACAGTGTTAACATAGGCAAGGAAAACTTTGGCATTGTGACACTTAGGCTTTTCTGATCTAGAGCTCTTCTTTGAATTTCAGTAGAAGCCTTTCTTGTTTGTGGGGTTGAAATGACACAGAGGAAAGACCTTTACAGTGAAGTAGAAAAGAATGTCACAAAAATCCTTGTTCTATTTGAGTGCACAGTTATAAGACAACACTATGTGCCTAAAATGAATCTGCCTTTCAGTGTCTTTCATATGAGTCATTTCAAACTCTGGGCCTGCTACATACAAGTTTTTCACTTTGCTGAATTGAAAGCATAAACTTCCATCATTACAATTACCTTCAGTCAGTTTCTCCAAGGACAAACATGTTTTTCCTCACTATGAAAACTGTTTATTTTCAATGTTCTTTCTGTGTCTATTTAAAGATAGCACGATTTTCTGAATTTTGGAGAATACAATACGTTGCCATCTTCCCAGTGTAGAGATTTTATCTGTAAGGTCAAAATCCAAAGATGGTAGAAATAATTTGAAATATATACTTTAGCTTCAGGGTATTTCATGGAGGGCTGCAGAATGGCTGTGGTTTTAAGTCAACTTCTGCAACAGAAATTGAATTACCTTCGAAAAGACAATTGTGTGGTATTACACAGTGAGTGAAAGCAGCATTTTTTTTGGTTCAAGAATTGCAGCTACAGTAAGTTTCACTGATGTATTTTTTCTCTCCCCAAAGCTACTTGCTGATTTAAAGCTGCTTCTTGGTTAGTTAGATAATTGATAATATTTGTACTCACCAATCAAGGTTTTACATCCTTGATTTGTTTTAAAAGGAAGATGATCCTGAGCTTTTCAAACTACCTGAATTTTTCAGAAGATATTAATGTAAAAAGAAGGGTGAAGAGCTAGAGCTAGACGATACGGGTCTGTGCAGAAAAATAATTAAAACATTGATGAATGCAGTTCAGCATCAGTTATTCAACATGTGAATGGTTGGTTGCGTGTTAATTTCTTTGATGAGGAAATAATTATTAATAATCTAGTGACAGCAGTGTCTTTTAGCGCATTGTGTAAATGGATGAATCCAATAATGTTCTATAGAATGTTCCAGTATCTTTACTACATGTAAGCATTTAGAGAGAGGAGACCAAAGAATACAGAATGCTTTTGTGTGCAATATCAACAACTTGTGTGCCTGGATTAGTGTTTGTTTTTTTAATTTTCTTGGGATTTTTTTTTTTGGAAGTGCTAAACATTGTGGTGCACAGTAAGGATGATTCACTCTGATGTTTGAGGAAATTTACTGCATTACAGAAAATGTTACATGGACCACGTAAATCTCCTCATGCAATTTTTATGTCTGTTTTGTTTCCTGTTTTTTATTCTTTAGGCAGAAGAAATGCATCCAGGATATTCCAAATACAATTATGTGTATTTGGCAAAGGTAACCAAGTTCTTTTAAAACTAATGGCTTGTAGACTCTGGTATTCTTACAGTGGTCTGATTGGAAACAAAATGTTTTTTCTTCTCAGTGCTATAAAGACCTTGGCCAGAAAAACAATGCACTGAAGTACTGTGATTCTGCACTGTCAGTTCTCTCAGTTACTAATGAGGTGGGTATTGAGAGTGATAAGTTGTTCTCTTGTGACCACTGTCCTGCTTTGGTACCCATTATTACACTGTCAGTAATAATGTTTCACTTTTTCCTCTGAACACAAAACCTTCCTTTTTCCTCCATTCAAGGTTGGATTATTGCAGTTGTTTGTATCTACAGCTGTAAAGAAAAAAATCATCTTTGTTTGAAAGAGGGACTGTGTCAGGGACTAGTCAGTGTCAGAGGCTGTCAGAAATTGAATTGCAGTCTTTGTAATTCAACCCATAGCCGCTGAGCATGTTACTGTTCTGAAATTTTGCCTCAGACCTACTTTTTCTCAGTTGAAATTACTTGGGATTTTTGTCCCACAAGATCTACTTCTGTTCCTGAAAGCCTCTGTTTTGTGATCTGTGTCGAGGCCTGTGGGCAGTGTGTGATTGTAGCTGCAGCAGAAGTGGATGAATTGTTCAAATTTGGCTTTGTCTTCAACCACAATGTGATTAAAGTGGCATAGTTCTTTGTTATATCTGCTGCAACATAATTCATTCTAAGAGATTATTAGATTCCCTTTTAGACCCTTTAGAGTATTTTAGTATATGGGAGCAAAGTTTCTAGAGATATTTGTGAGTTTTTAAGTGATTGAATTTCTCAAATGTAAACCAAGTCATGGCAAGAAGGTTCCCTCTTGCTGTCTCATCTCATGTAGAAGCAAGTTCCATAATTATCGACCTATGACTGAAAAAGTGTTACCATCCTAGAGCGTGACAAGTTCAAACCTGAGCTTTGTCAGCCTAAGGGACCCCCTTTGAGCACAGCAGATGTGGTAGGGAGAGAGAGAGGTGATTCCGGATACGAATTGGCCCTATCCCATTGAGTTCTTTGAAGTTAAGGAAAAAGACCATTAAATAGCTCTGTGTTTTGATTGACAATAAGCGCTGTGTGTGGAGCACTAACATGTTTATGTCAAATGTTCCCACTCAGAAGAAAGACCACTGCGTGCCTCACCAGCAGCTGCTCCTGGGTGGCATTTATTTTTGGTCCAAATGAGAGCATGTACCAATCATAAATTAAGCAATCATTGCTTAAGTTCATTGTTTCTTTAAATACGTACTGATGTAGATACGATATAATAACATCTTAACTCTTTATTCTTTGCCTTTTGTTGAAACATACCTTCAGCTTGTGCATTTTTACAGAATGTTTTTACAGAATTATCAGTTATTTTCTACCTTTGTTGCATAAAACATAGGAGAAATAGTTTGAGAAAGAGTGCATGCAACTGCAATTGCTTGAACTCAGCCTGTTTTGTATATATCTGCTTTGACTGTGTTCATGCATCTTATTTTATTTTTTTTCTGTATTTAACCTACTACACGCCAGGTCTTATTGCAATGAACTCTGTAGCTATCCAGCACAATTTCAAACATATGTATCGCAGAAACTTCTGGTGGGCAGAAGGCTGTGTGTGTTTAGTGAACTGGAAGTCATGCAGCATGTTCATCAGACTCCTTGGAAAAGCACAGAGATAACACAGAGTTGTATTCATCTTTGGTAACAGCAGCTGGACAACATTTTGGTGTCTAGTCACAGGTAGTTGCTGAGGCTCCCCATACGCTCAGTGGAGAGAGAGAGAAGAGGCTTCCAGGTGCCTCATCCCAACTCTGTTCCCTGGTGGCTGAGAGAGACTAGGCGTGAAGACTCATGTAAGATGCATGAGACAGTAGAAGACTGAGACACCTGACTTCCAGGCTCCATAGTTAATGGGAGGTGAATCCTACCTCTGAAGGCCAAAGGCATCAATCTAAATGTGAGCTCAGTTCAGTGTTTCCTGGGCCACCCTGGGGCCAGGGGTTAGTCCCTGCCAAAAGGAACACCCTGTCGCATTTCTGAAGTGCCAGCAGGCCAGAGGTGAGAGCAGGAATTTGGGAGCAATTTGAGGTGCGTGTGTATTCTGGCAAGCAGAGTGGTGATAAAATAAGAATCATATTGGTTTGTGAACCAAAGAAGCAGCAGCAAGCAGCACCCAAAATCTTCTGTCCACCTGAAGATGACAGCAAGACAAAGTCCTCTTCTGTTTTGACTAATTCTATAGATATCACAGATTTGTCTGCTTTGGTTCGTTCACTTGTTTTGTTTTAAGTTTAGAAAAAAAGGGTCTAAGAAAACACAGTATCGGAGCAACCATGTATTGTGTTTTGTTTTGTTTTGTTTTTTCTTAAAGTAGTCAGCACAAGGTAACACCAAGCTCACATATGGGAATTACTATAAAATGAAGATCTGGAACACAAACTCTTTGAATGCTAACTGTTACCATGAATCCCAGTTGAATTAGAATATCATGTCTCACTTGTTTAGAGAAAAACTGTTAATTCTGGGGGAAACGTGTTGGAACTGAAACGACTCAGAGCTTGGAGCTGTATGTAGGAATAACATTTAGTCGGGCTAGTTTAAGGGAGGGAAGAGACTGTAATGGCTGGAGACTGAATTGCCTACAGCCCTGTGAAATGCAGGGTTTGTGGTCTGAAATAGAAAACAGAGTTCAGCAGCAGTTTGATGATTCCTTTCCGTTTGCCACAGCACAGGATCTCAAGGTTGTCAGCAGCATAGGATGCTGTCACAGTCATGTGAAACCCATCATTCCTAAGTATAATCATAGTTTCTCATGTGAGTTGTTTTAAAACATCTCTTTCTTCAGGCAGGGGAATTCCTTTATTGTTTCTAAATGTTATTTTTTTCTGAGAAACTTATATATATATGTATAAAGGCATAAAATCAGTTGTAGACTGAGAGACATGCTTGCTGGAATGGTGCCACAGTGAGGAAATATGTACTATTTCATGATACAAATCACCCTGCAGCATAGCTATGAAAAATAATAGTAGATAATGGTTTCATTTATTTAATTTTTTTTTTTGCTTCTGAGCATCCACAGTTTCCGTTGACTTCAGTGGGAACTAGAGTTACTCGGCATCAGTAAAATAGCCCATAGCTCATTTTAATCCTCAGGTCAAATTCTCAGCTGGTCTAACTCAGGGTACTTCTTTGACACTTTGTCTAGGATTCATTTCGTGTAACGTTGCAGGCTAAGTGAGATGGTTTTGGTCTTGAATGTTGTATCACATCCAAATAGCCTTTCCCTGTGTATTTTCTACCACTTACAGAATATCTTTTTCATTCAAGTGGCTTCCAAACAGAATTAATTCTTACAAAAAAAAAAAAAAAAGGCGAAACAAACAAAAAGAAAAAACAACAACCAAACAAACAAAAAACTTGAAAAAGGATACTAAAGAAGTAATCAAGGTAGAGACAACTTCTGATTGAATGGCCGACTCCTGTAAATCCTAATATTAGTGTGATTTTTTTTCATAGTTTGGCACATTTTCAGCCAACCATTTTTTTTTCTTTTGAAAAGGAATACAAGAGAAATGGTATTTTTGGTAGAAATTAGATCTGTGAAACAAAACTCCTGTTACAGCACTATATTAGAGATCTTTCTCCATCATCTCTACTCTAAACAGAAACCCCCGATGAATCATATGGTCCTTCCTTGGCCATAAATACCGTCACACTGTGGGGTGGTATTACATAGCTGGAGGTGCATGGGACATGAAATTGTCCTGCTTTTCTCTGGTTGCTGTCCAGGTGGATAACCCCTGGGTCCTGGGAAACATTTACCCCTTCAAAAATAGACATCCTAACGCTTAGCACTGCTGTGAGTTATTGCAAAGTGTGTAACAGCTGCTCTGTTTATCTCATCGAACTTGCACTACCCTTACTGAGACTCATTATTTTGTTATGTGCTCAGAGCCTCGTTGAGTGTGGCTACATAAAGGGCTGTCAAAACCAGATGTGGTGGACTACTGTGATGGGAAAATACCTTTCCTTGAATTTGGAAAAAAATATGTATTCGAAAACATGAATGTTCTTATATTCGGAAAGACAAAATCAGTGTGTGGGTGTCTGAGCTTGATTAAACACACAGTGCTTTTCACATGAGTGGAATAAGGTGATTTGACAGAGCTAGGTAGATGACACCAATTTCTTGTTTATAAAAGATCGTTTGGCATTTTCAGGGGAACTTGTACAAAATGTACATGTAAATGTAGAATTATGAAGTATAAATGTGAAGAAATTACTATTTTTTCTTGTCTGGAGGTGAGCTTGGGGATTGGGAATGAACCCTATGTGCTTTTAGGGCCAGTGAGCTCACCACAGAGGTACTAGCAGCCTAACAGAGAAAAAGATGTAGTGGATTAATTCATTAAAAGCTCAAAGTTCAGGTCTCTCCGACATGTTTTAAAAACAAATCCAAAAAGCAGTAGTTACGTTACAATAAATTTCTTCTTCCTGGTTTTCTCTTTTCAGCTTTTCTAAAACTACAAAATAAATGTTTGCACTGAGAGTTAATGAAAAATCTTACTTAAAATGCAGATAAAAAGTTTCCTGGAGCTAAGAATGTATTTTAAAGTTATTGGTGACTTTAAAAATATTAATTTAAAAAGCACTCCCTCCTTCCCAACAAAAATAAAGGCAATTCAGAGTTAAAAGTAATAAGAAATAGAGATTTAGATATTAGACAACTTTATCATTCTGACATTCACTTCTTACAGCTGGAGCATGGCAGGAGTGTAAGGGTTGGTAAGGAATCTGCCTCCAGCTGCAGTGACATTTGAAATCTGGGGAAATCAGTGTGGAAGAGAAGGAAGTAAAAGTAATAATGGGAAAGAATGATGGCTGAATGTTTAAATAAGAGTGTAGCTGCTGAGAAGAAATAAAGCCTGTAAGATTTTCTTACCTTTTTTTTTTTTTTTTTTTTACAATTCCTAATTAATTTCCCAGGTTATTAATTTACATTTTGAATTTTGTTTGTAAATAAAAGAATGGGAGTTTAAACGGGATTGAAGTGAGAGCGGATTATTATAAACTTCAGCTTCTATCAGTTGTTCCCATCACAACAGACTTTTTGAATATCCTGAATTTTCCAATACAAGTTCACCAAGAAATGCCTCCTCCAGCCACCACTGACTGGTTCTGTGTAGCAGACCTTGCTGTGATATTTCCAATAGATCTCGTTTGAAGTTGCTGCAGCTCTTCTGAGTGAGAATTTAAGGAGGAAAAATTTAATTTGCTTTTAAAAGAAGGGTAAAAATTATGAATTTTCTTTTCATCTTCCTGATTTTCCCCTGTTAAGATATATCAAACTACACATGTTGCTCAGTGCAAAATGTTATTGTCTTCAGAGGATGTTAATTCCTTTAGATTTTATGTGCATTGCTATCCAAAAGCAGAAGTCCATAATGCTTCATTTACACGATAAAGGAAGCATTCGTATTTGTGTTCGTGTTGAATTTTGGACTATTACTTTTCCTGCTAATGCTGTTTGTGAAGTTGAACAAGAACTTCCTAACAGCTACCACCAACCCCAAATTAAAAGTTCTTGTGGATGTACTGTTTGTCAAAAATTACACTAACTGCTAAAAAAACAACAACAACAAAAAAAACTATTAAAAGCTATTCCTTAAATTGTGGTTCAGTTTACACTGAATAAGAGTGCTTCGAGCTCAGGGAATAGTCCTTTTAAAAACTCATTGCAAAGAGATTTCACATTTCAAACTATAAAATGCTGCTAAAAATGAGACATTTGTAAAAGATCAGCTTAAAGAAGTTGAGACCTCCTTTATTGTAAATTATTTTATCAGTCTATTTTTCTCTTAGTGATCGGGCTGATTTGCAATCTGCATCATCTTGAATTTCTTGCTGAAAGGTTTGTTTGCATTGTCTGCTTATACTTTATCCCCCTCCAAAAAACATTTCCCAAAATGCTGGGAAAAAAAGCTATTTTTTTGTGGTGTGGTATTTTCATACATAGGGAGAAAGCCTGCATTGATAAATGCCGAGTGAATTATAGTTTGTGGTTTAATTGACTAGTTTATCACGCAGTACTGGAAGCAAAATCCTGAGGAAGGCAGCACAGTTTTAGCACAGCTGTTTGTGCAGCAGGAGTGCTCGGCAGGCAGCTCCTTGGAGCACGGAGCGGGTCTCCTGCTGGTGGTGCAGGAGGAGTACTTCCAGAGGAGGATTCTCGGAGGCATTCCAGGATGAAGAGGTGTGCTGTTACTTTCCTGGTTTTGAAGAGTGGCCGAGGGACGTCAGGCTTCCAGGAGTTTAAAGTATGTTGTCCTGGGGCCAATAGACAGGGTGGAGGGAGAGCCTCAACAGGCATCTCTCTGAACATCTGCTTTTGGACACCAACAGCTCCATACAATAATTAAAGGAAACCAGAGTATGGGTGCAACCTGGTCTTGTAAATTAGAAAAGAATCTGCTGGTGGATTAAGATTTTGCTCCGTTAGCAATTATTCTGAACGGAAATCTGCCATTTTGTAATTGTTCAACAGCAGTCCTAGAACTAGCTGAACTATTTAGTCCTTGACATCTGGGTGTGAAAGGGTGTTTTCCTGTCTGCTCACAGTGTAATCAGAACATGTTGAATTATTGTCAACTACATATTTTAAAGCTGTGCTTACCTTGATCCTAGGAGCCTTGAGAAGTTACAGTTCATCCCCAGAGGAAGATACTAAAAATATGAAAGAACATAAGGCGCCCTGACATGGGATGTACGGCAGTCATACAGAAAGTTGCAAGTGAAAGATTGCATTGGTTTATTGAAGTATCTAAGGGAAGGAAAAAAAAAAAAGCCTTGGTGTGCAAACAAACACCTAACAAACACCTACTACAGTCACACCGTGTGTGAAAATCTACCATGACGTTGGGAATGGATAGCATATAGCTTTATATGATTTATATAGTCCACAAGAGCTATTGCTCTCTAATTAACAATCCTTGTGCCTGTTTCGGAGCCCTTTTTGTTACAGCCCAGGGTTTTTCGTGGAGCTGTGAAGGAATGATACAGCTGTACCCGAAAGCAGGGGTGGCTCTCAGCACCTCCTTTCTGTTACCACATATCAGAGCACAGCTTTGGACCACCCTCGCAGCCCTCACATTTAACATACCAAGCAGCCACACTGACTTCAGTGAAACCCTACAGGATGCATGTCAGCTCGGGATTTGGCTCTGGCTGCGCAGTTATGTTGTAGTTGGCTGGAGTTACCATTCTGTCGGTGGTCATGGGGGTCTATCTGTTCTCCGCTGACAGTTGGGACTTTGTCGACAAGTGCACACATGTGTAGTGCCTGGGCTGAGTGTGCTTAGTGCATACGGAAATAATTAGCTGAGATGGAAGGTAAAATCGTTATCTTTCTGTCTCAATTCTAATTGCTTTTTAAGTTTTATATGCACATTTATACACTATATTTTTAAGTTTTATATGCACATTTATGTCTGTGTGTATGCTTATTGATATATTCTTTATTTTTTTAGCAGAAATTAGCTGTAAAAATGTGGGCTACATCCAGTTAAGCCAACATTCCCTTCTTCCTGCCAGCTATCTCTTCTCTCTTGCTCTTGTTTTCAACTCCCTCTCTTCCCTTCTTCAGCCCCTGGCCTCCCAGGACTTTTTTTTTTTTTTTTTCCTGTGCATATCCCCTGTGAATGATGAAACAGAAAAGAATGGCAACTAAAGAAGAGAAGGGGAAAATGCAGTCACTGACCCTGTAACTCCGAATACCCTTCGTGTAGCAGTTAGCAGAACATTTGAACTCGTGTTCAACTCTGAAAATTATATGAGAAGTGTTTAATAAATGTAAGCCTTGACAGTAAAAAGTCAAGGTTGAAAATGGCTGGGTATTTAGTGAACGCTGAACTAAGCCTCAGGGGGAACAAATGGGACTGACGCAAAATACATTGCATTCCTTGTGCCTTGCACCTCTTCCTCTTCCTGCTGCACTCTAGACGGAGATCAAAGCCTCCCTGTCCTTGGAAAAACAAAAAAAACAACAACAAATTTAAAATAAACAAATTTAAAACAAAAATTTTTCATTTTTAGAAAGCCACAGACCCAGAAATCAAAGAGAAAGCATGTTGTTCAAATATAGGACTTCAAGCCTTTACAGTTAATTGAAATAAAGCTTTGACATTAATGAAGTTTTATCCTTAAGACTGGAGACAGGCTCAATGAACAGCGGTCTGGGCTTCTCTCTCCTTCTGCTGTGACATAACTCTGGGTCTGCAAGGACCCTCTCCAAGTGTGACAATATTGTTCCCTTCCCTGGCCATTCTCAGCTTTGCTTTTAACGCCATTACAGACTTTTAAAATGCTTTTACCATCTGGGTTATTATTATTGACTGGAAGCCACTGGCTCGATTAACACAGTCCATTAAATAGTTTGTAACGATTATACTTCTTGTTCCTGATCCAGTCTTGTTTAGAACTGGCAACCCAGAGCAGAGAGTTTTGCACGTTTGCAGTTTCTTCTCCAATTAGTTCTTAGAACAGTCACGGTTTTGCTTCATTCTTTGTCCTAAGCTCAGAGGAAGATTCAGGAAGGATTGCTCAATGGTTTTGGGACCTTGCAACTCACTAGAGCTCCTTGTTTCTCTCCTTAGAAGCAAAGGACTATATTGGGCAATTACACGTGATTGCTTGGAGCTGTATTTTAAAAAGCTGTATCATGAAAAATGAGTAAAATCTGTCAACCCATGAAATGCTGGACACTGTTCAGATATGAGAAAACCTGCATCATCGTTATTTTTGGCTTAGAAAAGTGTAAAAAAGGATAGGACCAAATACAATGAAACCATTTTCTTAATAACGTGGGACAGTATCTGGCATTTTACTTTTTTGTTTAATGGAGTTTGGCATAATTTTCACAAGTTGACTGTGGTAAGTACAGAAGAGAGTGTATTTTCCTTAAATTAATGAATGTATTGGTACAGATCTTGAGTTTCCTGGGTTTTATTGCAAGCCATGGGCTGGTGCTCCAGGCAGCCTGTAGTGATGTGGAATTTAAGGGGTGCTGAATTCAGTGTGATGTTTCCTTCTGTTAGAGTATTTTGGCAAGAGCTTACTGGCTTTGCAGTGTGTGCCTTCCAAGGCCTCTGATAAATGATTAGGCAGATAGTTTAGCCTATTGTTGCCAGTGGGAGCAAGGCAATGACTCCAAGAGAAGCATCCAGCTAATGTATTAATGCCTTAATCCAGACCAATAATATAATGTATTTTGACGTGTCTGGCATATGGTTTTTATCATCTCAATATTCTTCTCTGTTCCTCCATGACATTATGGACAACTAACCAAAATAAAGAGAAGCAGGGATTTCTTCACCCATGAAATGTATTTTAAAATGTCCAGTATTTTGTTCCAGCTCTTTGGTTGATTGGATAATGAAGTGATCCTGAAATTCAGTGATTACTTCACTGTCTGTCAGAAGTATTTTCTTTCAGAATTGCCTGTGGCATTATCTGGGAAAGGAATACTGGTCTCTGTCATTAGAAATACTTGCACAAAATTTGTGATGTCCGTGTGCTTTTGGCTTTGCGCTTCTGAATGCACACGGGCGCATATACTGGGTGGTTGGACCCTTACCAGCCTGGAGGTATGAGGTGCTGAATTTTTAGAAACGTGGACTTAAACCAAGGTGCATTTTGCAAGTTTTGCAGCAACAAGTAGAGCAAGTAGATTATACCCAGGGGACACTTAAAAAATGAGCAGAATAATGGAGTTTTATGTACTGCACATGCTCCTTTCCTAACTGGTTGTATATGGAATAGGCAAAATGTATGTTACTGGTTACCTCTGAAAGAGTTCTGTGAGCTGGGCTTGGTTTACAGCCCCGTGCACACTGTGTATTTACTTATCAGGCTAAAGGGAGCCTTTCCCTCCTGTCATAGGAGATATATTATAGTATTGGCTTTGACCACAGC